TCTAATCACAACTCACCCACTTTTATATATTATACCGATGTAGCAGTAAATCATTAGGAACAATCAAGTAACAACGATGTCCTCCAGAGTGTACGTGCGAGCAAAAAGGTGGCCAAGGAAGGGGGCGAAACAGCAACTGTTAGGGTTGTATATCCACAATTCGTACCTACCGCCGTACTTATCGGAACCTTCAGCCTGTTTATCAATATGCATTTTTTGTTGTTACCGTAAGCAAACAATCGTCAACACAACTATTCAGCTTCTTCCCATGTTGTCAAAAGGGTATGTGGTGACGCGTGAAGGTAACGAGCTGGAAAATCTGATCCTAATCAAGCCAAGTTTCGCACTGCTTTCAGGAGCGGGGAGCTGCATAACCTGCTTAACCGTTTTGATCTCCAACATTGTTGATATCGTTATAGTACGACAAAAGTTTCGATCTATGTACTGAACTAAATGCTAGCATATCGTAAACATGGATTGAGGTGACCACTGAAAATCTAGGAGTAGCGGCGTCTAAGTATTGAAATACAGCTCACCACAAACCCCTATTAAAGATAGGTCTACTTTTGTCGAGTAGCAATTAAGCTTCAAGCCTGGTATGTGTTTTCCCTGGCTTTATCGCTCAAAAGCTTCCGATCTTATGCTAGATGGAACTTCAGTTTGTAAGGAAAACGATGTTGTCAAGTTACGAGTGACAGTTGAAAAGGATTTCGATTAGTACGGTCTTTGCTTTCCGATTACCGTGGCAAGGGAGCAATTGGAGTTAAAAAAAGTCTAGCCCAAGACGTTCTCGTCGAAAAAACACTTTTCAAAGGAAGCGATTGACTAAATTGGCATAGAACGCAAAAGACGCTGTTTCGAACGGATAACGCGGCTAACATGTTATAAGAGAAATATCTTTCTCTTTGCGGAACAAAGCAAACGTCTAATGAAGAGGGAAGCTCGATTTGGGCGCCATATGAGCCTCGGGCATACAAAGAGTAAAGCTTAATATAGGATTTTAAATTTAAGATGTAACATGTATTAATTTTTAAATCGTGCGAACTCATCAATACACTCGTATAAAGGTGCACAACAAAAAAGTATTGTATAACAGAATCAAGGATGATTTAAAAAGGCTTAGGGTCTACGATATGAGTGCCTAACCTACGATAGCATCAGTGCATGAGGCTCCCCAGTGAAGGACCCAGAAGCAAACGCATGCTATTTATCACAGTTTCCCTCAAATTTATTACAAATACACCCCTCGTTAGGTGAACGCCCTTCCAAACATAATTTGTGGTAAAAGCCGTGAAGCGCAAAACGGATGGCTACGTGATGGTTTGTCTGCTTCGGTTTTTTCCAGCCGTTATCGCCCATTGCGTCCGTGCTGAGAAATTTACCTGCTATCTCGGTGAACTTTTGCTCCTACCTATTCAAACACCCTCAAAAATGGATTTCAGATGCTTGATGAGCAACCAGGTGTCAGCAAGGTTTCTTCTATATGAAGAAGGCCCAAAGCACGCTTAAAAAAGGTATTTTCATTTGGATGAGTAGTTTGTATTGTAAGGCCCTCCTAAATTACAGTTACCTCGTAAATTACTACCGTCGCCATTTTGAGCTCGAATAGACGGAGCGTTGTCATAAGAGAAAGGCGACTTGGAATCCTAGTTGCACATGATGTAGTCAGCGCATTTCTGCGTCTTTCTCTGATGTGCGAGGTGAAGATGCGAGATACGGGAATCTGTTAACATATCAAAGGGGAAATCCGGCGAAAGACAGTGTACCGCCAGCAACAATCTCGCGTTTTGTCCTGAATTTTACGGCTCCTTCCTTATCTAGGTTGACCGTTAATCCCAGTTCTGTTAATGTGAAGCCTAGAGAGCTTGTTGCCCTTGGAATCTGCTGGGACCGTAAGTTACCGAGTTACTTGCGTATAGGATGACTTCGGCAAGGTTCCCTCGATCCCTTATTCTGTTAGAAAGATCGTTAATGAGAGACTACGGCAAAAGGTGCGCATATTATTAGCGTGAACCAAGCCAGTTGTTCGGGAGCAGGGGACAGCTCCATCACTCCGTCGTCAATGCTTATATTGTCCTTCTATAAGGTCACAGCCACCTGGGCGAGCGTATTCTATGACCCACTCACGTACGCCAAAGTACGCAGAACCAGGTCTATCGGTACAGAGTCGAATGCGGCGTTAAAATCAACGACACTGCATATGAAAGGCTCGCTGGATTGTTGAGTGCTTTTTTAATGCCAGCCATTATGACATTATATGCTGTTCCTGTCGAGCATTCTCCCCGAAATCCATATTGTTCCTTAGCTATAGCTTTTTAGCTAAGAAAGTGGACAGTCTCTAGGTCAAGAGGCGGACAAGAGCTTGTCGTATATATGGTCTTTTTGGCGAAACCGCGCTATAACGATGGCAGAGTTGGTTCACCATTGCCCTTGGGAATCACCAATGGCGAAACATTTCACTAGTGAGTCGACAGTGTCGGCACGTGACACACATTAAAGAGTGCAGTCGCACAAGGACCCAGGACGACGGGGCTCTTGAGGTGTTCATTGCGGAACTTGTCTGGATCCGCTAGTTTGTTGCCTTGCAGGCTATCGAAGGCCTATGTCACTTCTAGAAAAATGAACTTCCGCTCGAGCAGGCTGCTCTCTGTCGTGAATTTCTCATGACCGACTATAAAGAATAAATACAGCACGTGAGAACTCGTATCACTCAGCGAGAACATACTAACGGAGTGCTTAATCAGTGCAGCTAAACTTATTCGACATACGGTTGAGCCAAGGCGTATTAGCTATTTGTGTGGCTACCACTCTGCCTTTGCTATTTTGTTGACTCTCGAATATCTCCAGCCATTTCTTCCATTGTGTGGCGTGTCTTATTTGGCAGGTTGTCTTGCGTGCTGTCGCCAGAGGGTAGGCTTCGGGCTGCACCTCTGCCAGCCGTCTGAAAATGTTCTGAGCTCTTCCGGCAAGATGAACCGAGACCATCGAATTAGGCGGTGGTGAATTGGGCATATGACTTAATGATTCTGACAGGATCTTTTGCATAGCGTTCTATGTCGATGGCATGAGCTACCAAAATGACTTTGTCTGTACTAAGAGATTCTTCACATCCAGACCACGTAGTATATATATATATATATATATATATATATATATATATATATATCTACCTTGATCAGCGAATTATTTCGTTCAAGGAAAGATGGTGGCAAGTGACAGCGCTTACAGACCGTTAATGAGCTTCCCTATTACCACGTGTGTCGACCCTAACTTGGCAAAGCAGAGATAAGCTGTCATGATGCAAACGCTTGAGCCACGCAATGTGAGAGGGATAGAGATTTCCCACTGGAATGTCCTGGGCCACTACTTTTTCGAGCTAGGTAACTCACGGCGAAGAAGCCAGGAAAATTAAGTGGGCAAGTCGCCCATGTTTTCTTCATATTGAGGATATCGACACCCTCCTAGACCGTCATCTTAAGGAGCGTTAATATTGTGATATTTTCCATTGGGCGATTCTCGATGTCTCGGCCCCATCAAGTGTTATAAAGTAGATCCGTAGTGTAGTTGCGATCGCGTTGGCGAGAACTGCCACGTCTTTAGGGCGCCATATGAGTGGCTGCTGCTACGAGAACTAAAGGCGTAAGAGAGTAGCTGTTTGAGGCCATGTTATGACATGATTTTTTGGTGCGGCTTGATGTTTCTACTGACTGGTTCTCAGGAAACTGATTTGGATGTCCGATCGCTTCGCCTTCAGCGACTGATTGTGTTCCTGAGGATCGTGTCTCGGTGTTCCTTGAACCGTCATCGGTTCTGATTCGCAGATCTTCTTCCGAAACTTCATCTGCTTAACTTTCCTGATTTTCGTGTCTAAAAAATGTCACCTTTTTTGCGATGTTTAAGACTATTTTTTCTTGTTATTTTGCTTCGGTATCTATATCGATCGCTTTTAACAATTGAGAGCGGAGCGATGGAGAGAATTGTGACCGGAAAGGTGTCACTCTCTTTGGCCGCCTTTTTCGCTGGAACACCGTTCACCGCTTTGTAGTCTTGATCGAATAAAGAAACAGATAATACGCGGACCTTGAACTCGACCAGGGACGGACCGGTTTCTCTGCCAGTCCTTCCACTGTCGAAATGTGTTTATCTTTTTCAAATTGCATACGTTCTTGGTAATTTACCGACACAAATTCATTGGGCATTATCTCAAAGCGATAAAATTCAACATCTGAAGGTGTGTACCACTCTACTCTAAAACTGTATTCAAGTTTACTCCTTACTTAGCAGCGGCAATGCGTAAATGCATTATCTTACGTTCAGAAAAAAGTTGGGTTCTCTTAACTGTGACTGCGTTTAGCGTACACGAATGTTGACCCTCCAGGGGCTGTCTAGCTTTTAAGCTAAAAATATAAGTATGAATAGCTTAACGTTGCTAGCAAACATTTTGTTCGCAATTGCCTAAGCTTATCTGGTTGTAACCGAAGACAAATAGCGCCATTCATATTCTTTACTGAGTTCATAGGTATATATCTCTGTAAATAGACGTCAAGGATGCTCTTTGTTCACTTGTTGGGTTGGCGACGCCCCGTGGGACGACGCACGAACGGCACCTCGCTGGGACTCCCACAGAGCCCTGTCCAGAACTTCTGGATTTATGAGCTAAATATAGACCATGGTACAACCTACCGCAAATTGGTAGTTTATAACGGTTGAAGGACGAAAACATTACTAGGTCACATGTCAGATTACGTAGATCGACAGCGCAGTATTGAGCAAATTTCATATTAGTCGCGTTTCTATTTTTGGCAAAAATGAGTTATAGAGCTTCTTATACCTACATGGAACGACACTATTTTGTTTTTGATGTATGTTATGTATGTAGTATTTTTGAAACACTCCTAACGATCGTCCGTTTAAATCTAAAGGCATAACGAACAACGCTATTGAAATCAAGCGTTCGCCTGAATTGACTCAAACGAGGGTGCTATCTTTGACTTGGTTACCTCAGATCCAGCTAGTGCGGCAAGCATGGCATAGTTTCGAAACAGCGCCATCGGTCCATGTTCCTCCATAAGCTGAGCAGGTTCACGAGGCACCGCGATTCCATCAACAATAGGCCCAAACGCTGAAAGATGTTCTGGAGGTGAGAGGCCTACTCCTACAATGTCAGCGGCAGCTCTGTGAATAGTATGCAAGAACATACACAAAGTGCACTTATTTATGTGTTTATACTTTGTACTGCCAATAAAAGGCTGGTATCTACTGTTTGACGCATCGCCTAGTGATTACTGATAGTAAACGTAACATAGTCTGGTTGAATTAACATTACGGTAGTGATAAACTATATAACCACGCATTATTTTTTTTACTCAGATGTGCATAAAATTAGAAACGGATGGATAATGATATACCTGTAATTTGATAAACATAAACTGAGTATTCTGGAATACGATTTATTCTCACAGAAGTTAGTCAGTTGTCTTAAAACTGAACTAGGTAGCATTAAGTAGAAAATAATAGCACCAACTTATCGCTTGAATGCCTTAAAGTTTGAATTATCTTTTACGTAGCATTTGATCTTGATGATCACTTCACTGCTTCTCACATAGAAATTGTTAGATCAGATTACTCAGCACTATATGTATACAAAGCACATTTTACGTTAAGGATCATTCAAAGATAATTGCTTCTGACCGCCAAACTGCGTGCTATACCCCAAACATATGATTCCATGCACGAGATCTTGCATTCGTGCATGTACAGTAGACGGCTCGGAAACCATCGTGGAGTGCACAATGTCACCAGAAACTTCCAAACAGGAAAACTACCGAGAGCAACAATTTTACACCTGACATCGAAACAAGACGGGAAGGACTGGCAGGACGAGGGAAATAAGGACATGCCTCACATGGTTCGTAGCCGTTGTCATCCAACAGAATCTGTAAGCCTGCGGAAAGCGGCTACTTGATATTACTCCAAAAGAAGATGCAGCTTGTTCACCTCTATTCAGTCTGCCATTACTTTTCTCTGATAAGGTGCCGATCCTACAGTGATCTCCTCAGTTTCACGTAAGTGTAAGCCTTGTTGAGACATCGTGAGGTAAAGGCGTATAAGGTAAAGAGATAACGAAAGTGCTATGGATCTTATGTGGTAGGGCTCTCTGTTAGAAAAAGCACTTGCATCCACTTATAATATCACCATTGAATCCGCTTTGGCCCCAGGGCGGCGTGAGTGGAAGAGCCAGTTAGTCTTAGCTTGCGTGCACAATGTAGTGCAGGCACGATGGCCACGGACGGTACTGAAAAAGAATGAGGAAGAGCAATCGAGAGTAAGAGCAAGTATGGCAACGGCAGTCCTGCGCAAGTTGACACAAACACCGGCGTAGACAAAGGATATAAAAAAACACAGATAAACAACAGGAAGAATGAAAGGATATGAAGACATGATGTTACAAAGGAACTGGCGTTTTCAAAAGGAAGGCTGTCTCTAGTCAACTCTCCTGAGAGATCTATCTGCCCTAACCCTTACAGTTGAGTCGAGTCGGCATCGCTGCCACTACTAGCTCCATCGTAACGGCATCATAACCAAGGCCGGTAATGGCATTGTAGCTAGCGCGGAACATCGCCCTAGATTAAGCGGACGGACCTCGCAAAGCGACGACAACGAGGGGCAGAACAAGGACCGAAAAACTGCGTAAAGCGAAGCGACTGCTAACTCATAACCCATGCCTTTGTACGCGGTGTACGAGCTATGTTCTATATGAGAAAAGAAAGGGCGGAACGCACGTGTACGGTAAATCCATATCTACAGTATAGTGGAAGGAGGGTAGCGCGTACATAGATGGAAACATGCGGATGACGCCTTCTGTCTTAAGGGTGTTTGATGAAACATGATGAATATGATATAGGGCTTTTGTGCTTTCTAGTAAACGAAGCCAATGGCACAGAATCTGCTCTGTATCTGAAGTATGTATTCATAACGCCAAATGTGCCGTATAACAGGAGGATGATTACGTAACCTTTAAGGCAGAAACGAGTGTTACAACAAAAAGTACCAATGTTATGTTCAATATAAAATGTATTGTTTGGGCTATTAGTCTCACCTTTCGTTAGTCTGATACAGTTTTTGTCAGACTAAACAGAGATCAGTAAGTCAGAATAACTTAAAATCTAACACGAATCAAAGAAGCAGCAAAATATTTGTACAATACACATTTATGGCACAAACGCTCACTCGGGCTTAGAAACGCGTGAAGGGTAAAATCTCCTAAAATAATCAATTAGTTCGGATATAGCAATACCAACCGATTTTCATTTGCGATTTTTTACGGTACGAAGCAGTTGGGGAAAAAGAAATATAATGCCGTTTGTCCCGTTAAATTATCGGGCGAAATAATGATCCCAAAATGTTCCATAGTAATCTGTCTATAAATGAAGATCAAAGATCTTGTTCATGCGTTCAATCTCCCTGTAATATATCAACGATAATTATCTCTATAGAACTATTGTGGTCTAATTGATGCAGGTACCTTTTGCCTCACAAGCGGTATTATGCTTTTTACCAAATACTTGGTATGCAATATTTGAAGCCTTGATGAACGGTATAATCGCTAGAAACCCGCTTCCAGTCATCCAATGCAAGGAAATTCGAACCAACAGCACAATAAATTGATCCGCACCTTTAGTCTATATACATCTAATATAAAAATGTCTAATTCGTCGCTAATGAAGCTATTTAAAGAAATAAACATTATTCATATATACTGGCACAGCAACACGTGAGCACGTAGAACTATCATATCCATAAGATTTAGAAAGTAACGAAAGAAGAGAAATAGGGGAGTTGATTTAGTTAACTTGGAAGACAATTTTATCTGAAAGCGAAGGGCAAAATTGAAACTGCAAATTTACCCCAAAGTGCCATGGAAAAACATCTGATACCTTAGATCTTAAATATTAGACAAAGTGATCTTTTTTGAGATAACCGAGTGAAGATAGAAAGACTTCTACGGAGTCAATTATCTCGGCTTCGAGGTAACAATCGGTAGCGGAAATCGGGGGTCAGGAGCGTCAGTAATATCTGATGACACAGAGGGAAGGTAAAGCGCACAGTGAAAGGTCTTCAGAAATTGAGTTCTAATGGGTTAACTTTGAAAGACAGCCGCAAAGTTAATGAGGGCCCAAGATATCATGAGAAGCATTAAGGAAGCGGTAAACAGGAACAGGTTAGGCATGAAAAACTCCGGAGTGACACATAGGGGATTTGTAATGCATGGGCATAGCGTTTTACAGCTGTGACCAATTCTGTAACCTCATGAAACTAACGAAGATGAATAGTGCTCTATCAATAATTTTCGAAGAAGAGATTTGAGGTGAAAAAAGACAGAGATCATAAGTATACGTTTAGAAAAAAGACTACTAATTTGAGGCTTCCAAGAGAAATTGTAGTTTAGACGGACACCGAGTAAATAGGTAGGTACGCTAAATGTCAGTGAGTGGCTGCCTGCTTTTAGAGATGCTAAGACGAAAAGAGGAGATCAAGACTACCTAAAAAAAAAAAGCACCATTGCTTTGGTAGTATTTAGCACGAGTTTCAGAGAGCGGTAGATATTCCGACACAGTGGAAAGCTGATAGTTAGGCGGTACGACGGACTGCTTTCCACTGTTTACCTCGATTGCAGAGGCGTTACTGCAGCTTTTGGTAAAAACGCGCGGGTTGGATTGTCCGCAAATCACAACGTGTTCTAGTAGAGCACAAACAACATGGGATTTGAAACAGCGCTCTGAGCTGTATCTTTGAAAAGCTACTGCACAGAAGAAGGTAGAATTTCCACGAAATTCGGTTGACTCAATCGTCGTCACAAATCAAAGGCGGGTTAAAGGTTGTATGAAAACAGCGTGATAACGGCAGTCGAAGGATTAACCTATATTGAGGAATAAACACATTTTTACCTCTATCATGCTTCCTAATATTATCGAGTGCTGCTTGATAGGTAGCTTTAGGATCCTAAAAAGCCTTACGAAAGCCTGGGCAACAGGGAGAAAGGAGAGGGTCAGATTCAAGCTGGAGCTGGATGGGCAAATATACTTCAGATATTTTTGTAAGAAAGCATCTGACGGCTATGAGACAATACGAGTCGGTATCATTTTTAATCGTTTATTTTTGGATATGTGCGTCCCAGTAACTATTTTGAATACATACAATTAAAAAAAAAAACAAAATTAGAAACATACAAGCAAAAAAAGCAGGCTATTGATTAAAATCATCCCCACGCATCGGGAAGTGTGTGAACTCTATGACTTTGGAGGGGGCTAACCGTGGTTGCTTTTATAAAATTACCTTTGCTGGCGCTACGTCCTTTATGAACTAGAGTAAGGTCTATGGACGAGACGAAGTGAAGGAATCAAGGGATACTTCAAGGTCTACTAAACTGGGATTTAGGGAAACTGCGTAGAAAAAGAAAAAAGCGCTAATTATTTTGGTCAGACTAGTATAATTTGCCTAGCTGACGTTTAAACAAAAGCGGTAAGGGGTTGTGACACGCCCTCTATATCTGAAGTTAATAATTACCCTAACGTTAATTGAAGAACCCCTGCCCACTTCGAGCCTAGCGTGTAAATAAGCCGCTGAAGATTTTGTTAGCAGATCGGTAAGTCCTATGTAAAAGAAGCAAAGGCTTAGACTGCTTAATCGAATAATATCGATATTCAAGCCAAATGAGAAAAACGCTGCTTCATTTTTCGTCGATTTTGGGAATTCTGTTAGCTCCAACTGTAGTCGGCATATGGAAACCCATTTCGGAAAATTTGCAACATAACGACTCTAAAAGCCAGTTAGACAATGTCTGTAGATGAGCTTTGCATAAAGATCCCTAAGGCTGCTAATAAGGGCCAACGATACATGCTGCTACCCCAGAAAATAAACGGGGGATACTTGCCAGACTCAGCCTAAAAGTGTATTTAGATCAAATGGTAATTTTAACAGAGTGAAAACCGATGAATTCTACAAAACATTCTATATGTCAAAAAAAATCGAATTTTTTTCTCAAGTAGACTTAGCTGTTGCGTGCAGAAGTCATTTGTCTGTGAATAACATCAAAGCACTGTATCAACGCGCCATTTTTTTTTCTAGAATAACTCATGTCGAGAAGTCGTTCTGCATTTACGATCGACTTTGAGATACTCTACCTAACCATTAGTCAAAGACTCAATTTCTAACATTCGTTTAGCCGCGTATTTTTTGGCGTTCTTAGGTTATATCAAAAGATAAAGCAGTAAAATATGGGGTTTCGATGTATCGTATTGCAAATCAGGAATATAACTTGATGATTTTTATGGCTTTCGTAACTCAAGGAACTTTCATCCATCCTAAAAAGTCAAGGAAAGCGATCACTTACGCGAACTTGTATAAACGGTTTATGCACTTCCAGTCTATTTTGTTGCATGTGACATGTTAGTGATTATCAAAGCGTTTTATGTGCCTATAAATCAATTTTTTTTTTGTCATTTATTTTATTAGCACAATTCGGACGGGATGACTGCAGGTCTTGTAGCCTGAACAGCTTTCGCTTAAGAACAATGGCGCTCAGATACGGGCGGTCCGTGTGAAATGAATACCAAGTAAGTCTGTAGATACGGTATGTGTATGGTAAAATATGAGCTCGCATCGAAATCGTCAATTGTGCAGAAGCTCGAGATATATGTCCATACCCCTTGCACAGGGGCTAAGTTTTTACGATGCTTAAAAGTACCTAACGGCGGTCTTACATAAATACAAAGCTTCATTGATTCTTTTACGAGGCTCTATAGGAGAACAGTTTTTATCAAGATGCCTGGAAGTTTTGTGAAGCGATGTTAAAGATCTAAATTCTAATACTTGTTACCGTCAGAGTCGTAATTTTCGAAATGTGTCATCGGCAAGTAATAACAGCAATAACTCCCGATTTGCACAGGGTAGATTTTTACAACTGGTATGTAATATTCAATAAGTTGTCTGTGTTTCTAACAAATGTTATGGCGGTACGCTGTTGCTTCCCGTGCCGTAAGAAGCGAAAATATCTGTAAGGAGGCAACATTTTAAATCGACATCATTCCAGAAATACAACTCCATAAATGTACGCAGTCAGAGACCCAGCCCATCAATTTCCAGACATGTGTCGCTACAAACAGCAGTAACAACCTCTGGTTGTGCCTACTTACAGATGCTAATTGCAAAAAAAAAAGCCAGTTGATTGTTATATGCAGAGTTCCACTATTAAACTGAATGTTTCGACTTCTACATCCAGTAAAGCCGTTAGGCACTCCATTCATTAGTCGGCTGGCTCCGAAAAGAAACGAAGTGTCTACATCCGGATTCAAACCCAGATCGCTACTTGTATTTCTGGCTTAGCACGCGAACACATTATCCATTACGTTTTTTTTTTTCATAGGAGAGAAAGTTTTACATCTGTTTCAGCAACGACGGCTACAGGTAAAGCTTGCACTGCTAGAACCTAGAGAAGGTCGTTGCCTTTCTGTAGATTAGATGACTTAGCAGCATGGCTGGTAGTTCCGGGAACCGGCAGCATTGATGCCCTACATCTGTTTGTTCACACATTTACATATTCGTTATTTATTTACTGCTGCATCATGTGTCTAGCTACAAGGCTAGAAACAACGCTCGAATAGAGACAAGTATGTTTGATGAATCTGACTTAATGACTTCTGGACTTCAGCTGGCTGTTGGATGAGGCCGGTGAATCAAAAAAGTTACGCATGTTATATGGCATGTTTTCTATAAGCTCATTATCGTCTCTTTATGAAGTTAGCTGCCGTTAGTTAGGCCAAGGTGATATGACAGACAGCGGGCTCTTTCAAATACTGGCTGCATACTTATGTAGAGATACATAGAGCGTTCACCACATTATTTGAACCATAACACCTTTCCGACCGAATGGTACACCAATGAACGGAAAAACAGCTTTTTTCGCTGGATTTTCCCGTGATTCAAAGAAGATAATTGCAGATTCAACGAATTTCAGTACGCCATTAAAAAAGTTCACAGCCAACACGTCGACTATCATACGCCTAAAATTCGAATAAGCCGTTAAAATTGGCCGTTACATGACAGATATCTACGTCTTTCACGTAAGTCTCTTCTGCTTGATCTACCCATTGTCCGCTGTAGCGACTAGACGCAGTTTGGAATTACTATAGACTTTTGTGTTTTTGCAGAGGAGAGAGCTACTCAAGGTCTCGGTGCATGACGTATTTGGACCTTTGCGATTTATATGCCGCCAAGCAAAGGAGCACATTTGTAAAAAGGATCGGCGCACCGCCGTACAAACAACAAAAAAAACGTGTCCTGACACGGCTGCGATCAACAACTATATTGGTCAAAGAAAGACATTGTAAAGGATACGATATGTTTATGCGATCACTCATATAGACAGACGGAAGAGCTATATGTAACCATGTGACGAATATATCGTTCACAGTGGCAATGGGCGCCCGACTCGATCTTCCGATTGTACGCATGCTTCATAGTAAAGATGTTTTATAAGTAGTGTGATTTACGCACACATGGCGGACTGACGCACGTGGAGCATATTGAAGACCTGCGCGCCTGTTGTATCCGACTAGCTACCTTCTATGAGATGTGTTTAATTTCTATTAATAGAGCTGAAATTGCGATCGTAAAATGCCCTGTGTAAGTATGTTTTGTGTTAGTATAAGCAGTAACTATCATGTCACACACACACAAACACTTATGCAACTAAATAACACCAGTACGTATCTATATTATTTCCGCTCACATTAGACAGCCATGTTTACATTGCTCAGGCCCCTGTTTCGACGTTGGATGGAAGCGGAATGGTTACATTGTCTGCCGTAATCAATTCTAGCCTTGTTTCACAACGTCCAATCGGATTTTGTCTTATTGTTATGATATCATTATTATATATACCAGTGGGCTGACGAAATGCTTTTCGCAGACATCTGTCTTTGTGAAAATCAATAGCTTCCTTTTGAGGAGCCTACGCTGGGATCATTGCAAGGTAGTCTTTCAGGTCTAGTGAAAAATGCTATTCAAGCGCTTATGCATATCTGCAGTTTATTTCAGTGTATAAAAATTTTAACCTAAAGGATAAACAATCAAATGAAGAATTCTTTCCTTCGGTTTCGTTAAATTCGAAAGCCATGTTGTATATAAACGAACAAAAGTTAGTTAGCTTGTATCTGCTAGCAGACGCTACACCTAAAATAATACAATAAAATCACAACAAATAACTTACCGGCTTTTAAGGCAGTCAATTAGGGCTCGATTGTCATCAACTGGGCAGTTAAGTTCATGCGCTATGAGCCGGGTGTATTTAACAGAATCTCTCGCCATGGCCCAGGGACTTAACGCCGACCCAGACATCAAGATCACTCGTTGAAATAATCCTGTTACGCGAGAAACACAAAATGCATTAAGTTCTATTAGAATTTCGTTGCGAACATATTAAGAACATTGGCATCTGTTTTGCCAGCGACATACGTAGACATGTTTGTTTTCCGCTCGGGCAGTTACACTTTACTGGAATGCCCCCTTGAGCGTCATCTTCAAGGGAACAAACGCTGCACACGATCCAATTTCATTGAAAGAGAGGGCAGCTGCTACAAGTTTCTCGCCCATTTTATCACACAACGTCTGGCGAAGTTTGTAGAAGCTTGTTAACGCATCCCGACTGAACAGCACGGATTCCTCGTAGGGCGCTCTTCCTTTACGGCATGCTGCATACTACTTCAGGAGGTGCACCGGGTCTGTCGTTGGTCAAAATAGGCGCTGTACGCTGCCTGTGGAATTTTTATATCGGCGTTTGATATGGCTACCTGACACAAGATTCTAATAAACTTGGCACAATCCTTCAGAATATGCTGCATCTGATAAGAGCATCCTACGGAAAAACTCGGTTAGCATAGCTGATGGAGCGCCTCAATTCGGGCCATGCGTCCAATCAACCGACGTCGTAGGACAGATTGATAGTCTGAACTTACTATTCTTCTCCCTCCTGCTGAATAATCTGTTATTTGGTGCTCAGAATCTGTATCGGCGAGCTTATCGTTTTCGGACAGAATTGGTTTCACACTTATTTCAAATTTTCGCTAGATTTCTTGTTATATGTGGATAAGAGGGACAGGTTATTAATATGGGCAATACGGAGGTCACGGAGTTGCGTCGCGGAGGCCGCCTCGCTGCTAGCGGCATTCTCCATATTGGCAGAACGACTTTGAGGTGCTGTTCAAGATTAAGGTGGGTCTGCTAGCTTTCTACGGAATTTACGTGCTGTGAGAATACCTCTAGTCGACGTAACTCGAAAAACTCGACCGAGTTATGCCTGCGTTGCTCAAATACGTCATGGCTCTGCATCTCTCATGATTGAACAGATAGATACATGCACGTTTTAGACCACATGCCGCTATTTGTAGAGGATCTAAGAAGCAGATTTAAACTTTACGGTACCCATGCTTATTTGAGAGAGTAAGATGCCAGAGATCAATTTTGACTCTCACACCACAGGAACGATGAAGAATCAAACACAGAGAAAGGCAAACAAGTTTAATCTACACGTAGTTAGGCGTTTTATAGTTCATGAGTTTTACCACATCCTATGAGATGCGTAAGTTTTTGTTTGCCAGACGCCAAGTGTGTTTGCACGAAGTGCAGTGGAGTATGTCCCAGGTACCTTCGCTAAGCACGGTCTCTAACCGGGCTTATCAATTTAAAACGTTTTAAATATTAATTTGATCCGTGCGTTGGATAATACTGTATCTTTGTACAACTATAATATGATGATTGATTCTACTGGAATGCAAAAGAAAAATATCTGGAATTTTGGAAGCTCTTGAAGAAAAATATTGTAGCTGACAGCGTGTACATACATTTACTTACATAACAACAGCAGACGCAATTTAATCAAAAAATATATATACATATATATTGTCACCATACTCTAAGTGTGACAGGAGGGGTCATTGGCGGGTTACCTGCTATAGGAGTAGGCCAAGGCAGATAAATTGTTGCGAAATTAACTAAAAAGTTTTTTACATGTAAAACTGAAGAGTTAATTGAACTAGGATCATTCCTTTAGTCTTGCACACCATCTTAATGACCAGATAAGTCACATGGTCACTAATGATCATTTGATATTATTATAACCTGGTCTTCCAAAGCTTTAATAGAAAAATACCAAAGTCGCCACTTTACGTCCCGTAAATAGCAAATAAATAGCTGATAGTTTGTTTAAATAGAGAATGTTATTGCTGTATTAAACTGTCACAACCGAACCCTGCGGACTTCTAAGTGAAATAGTTTTCAAACTAGGCGCCGCTAGCAGAAGAAATTTGGCTGCTAAATATCAATGTTCTAAAAAGTTTTCAGTGAAAACCGGTTGACTTTACTTTAAGAAAAATTGATTCAAAAAAGTTTAGTCTGGGAAATCAACACTCAGTAGCTACGTTTTTGTTAGTCGAGGGTCTCAGCGCTGTGGAAATTCATTAAAAATTGGTAAAGACATTAAAAAAATGTTAAGCGAAGGCACGGTGCGTGAATGGTGCATGTGTTTTGAAAAACAGGGATTAGAGCGTTGAAAATTAGCGAAAATACGATTAAATATGGTGACCCGAAGGACGAAAACACGTTGTCGCCATTGAAAGGGCTTCTTACAAAAGCAGCGCTTAGAGCCTAAGGGCTCTGTCGGCTATTAAAAAATTATAACTTATTCGGAACCTATCTTATCTTCACAAATTTATGAGGGAATATCTATTCAAGCTTCCAAAGGCCTTTGATCAAAACGATACCCGAATAGAAAAATGAGCAAAAGCCCATTGAAATAGTAGGAGACTACAGACCTGGATGCTGAGTATTTAGACTCTAGAGATGGCCGAAATATTGTGTGGCCATCATGTCAACTTCAAACGCTACTTTAAACGATCATGGACAAGGCTGCAACAACCCACTGAAATTGAACAGATTCGCATACAGTTCACAGATGAACGCTCCTCTATTGCCTCTCCGATAACGTATTTGCCTACTAAATGTGGGAACATGCAAGATGACCTGGGTCAGAAGTCAGACGCGAACATATTGCTTCGCGCCAGCCGTCTGAATGCCGGCAATGCATAACAGCGGTGCCGAACGTAAGCCTCAAAGCAGTTTTTAGTCCACAGGAAATTCTAGCAACATTAAAGCTATCTGAAAGTTCGTTGTCAAAGTTTCTTAGCTAAAGATTAAGCTAGAACTTTCAACCGGCAACTTCCTTTTCTGCGTTCTTTCGGCGTTTCTGAGCAACCTCAGAGATACTAGCCAGATAAAGATGTACGGGATTAAAAATTGCCTTTAATGATTAAGAAGACCATCACGAGATTTCTCGAATCTTACACTAAGGTAAACCCGTGCTATTGAAAAGCAGCAGTTCTTGACTGCCTCAGAATAGTCAAATACGGTTCCAGTTTGCTATCTGCTAGGCTATCCTGCCTGGCTCACCGTACAAAGATTTTTGAATATTGGTTTCTGCTGATAGACGCTACAACGTTACCTAGTACCAATATATGTAGCTCTCATAGAAATAGTCAGGGTTTTGAAACCCATATTTCCGTCGATACATGTAATTCTTGAGCAAGCTGTGAGTGTTGACTTAAAAATATTTGTTTAGTCACAAATTCCAGAATAAGTTCTAATGCTAGAACAGAAGCCCGAAACGTTCCTTTTGTTTGCATCCCGCCAATTTTTCTGTGACGAACCGAGTCAGGTATTAGTATTCGTGCCGGCGCAGGAAATGAAACAATATAACCTTATTGTACTAATAAAGAGATAGGAGAGGCTACAAGTCGGTTGCTGGGTAGGCACATATGTCACACATATATAACAATTTACAGATAAAAAATATATGAGATCTTAACTGCAATGTACAGTATACCAAGAATATAATATATGACATATATTATTTCTGTGGAGAACTTACACATAAAATTGAATCCCATTGATCTAGATTGTGCCGCATCGACTCAGTCTTTTATCAGCTATCTTAATAGCGGCCTTGACCAGCTGCCTTAGTGTAGAATTCCTGCACTGACCCGAGGGTGTGTTGGATCTCAGGTGTGGATGGTCGAAAAGTTAAGAAAATATACCATTCGAAAGCGTTAAAAGGCATCTACAGTCACAAACCTATTTAAGAACCGTTATTCTAGAAGGACTTGTGCTTACCTGTTACCTGCAAAATCACTTGACCGCATTTGTAACGGTTTATCATTGATTAATTGGGCTCATCTTGTTCATACAGGCCATTGGACAGTTCAGGAAGTAAGGATACGTAAGAACAGGAATCGCTCAACTCGACTATTGCTACAACTGTATAACAAAAACTACCCTGGACGTGAGAATATGTGACTGATCTGACCCAGGATATCAGGCTCATCTGACCAGAGAAGGGCTAGCTAAGGCCGTAATTTGCTGTCCAATGCAATAATGGGAAATACTTCATGCAGGAGTCTTTTAAGCTGTCTATTGGTCAACCTCACAGGGCAAAAACCTTACAACCGGCTGTCGTTAAAACCAGGAATAACAGCCTGCCCTATTGTCTCAGGCAAGCACATCTATCATTTGCAGGACTTTTCGGCACTGCTTGCGCGCGATGCCACCATTCACGGAGAGGTGTCGTGACCGAGAAGGAATTGTCTGCACAAACTTTTACCATCGTTCGTAAAACGTTAGTTTCGAAATCGAATTTACAAACCTCGAGACTCCCTTCCAAAGGATAACATAAATTTGAACGAGCAGAATCAAAAAGCCCACGTAGGGTTCTACTGGAAAGAACTAAGCAAAGTGTTCAGGTGTGGCCGATTTCTTTGTGCTGTGTTTACCGATTTCATTACCCCTCGAGTTAAGCAGAGCTCTCTGGAAACCGGCTTAACTGTTGAATATGCTACACACTGCAGCATTCGTATTGCAACAGTTTTAGCTGAACATTTTTATTTGTAATTAATGTTAGCAAAAAATCTAGTGTCGTGCACGAGGATAGTTTAGGTCCCGCACTGTCATGGCCGAAGCAATGAGGCCTAACGTGGACAGACCTAACCTAACCTAACGTGGACAGCCATCTCTCTAGATGAACTTGGCCCGCTGAAGCCATCAAGTTTGTCAACAGCTATACCTTTTTCGGAGCTCTAGCTTATTCCACACGATTTTTCGTTTACTAGGCCTATAAATTAACGGGTTCGAACAATTTCGATCCTAAGCTACCTGACTAAAGAACGGCACAAATAATCATATTTTGCAAACTTGAATAGCTCTCTTTATTCACACAGGTCGTGTAGAATGTATCTTTTTAACACGATCTGAAGCAACGTTTTTTGATATCTGCCGGACATATCGACTTATTCTATCACGTCTTTAGGAAGCTGTTTTATTTTGTTAACTTGGAAATAATGAATGGGCTAGGTCGAGAGTTTTACAGGTTCACAGTTTCACTAGCAAACTTGAACACTAATCCGTTCACCGTCCTAAAGTTAATTAGAACTTATTACCAGCACTTACCAAACTGGCAGATACTAAATGTTGAATGGGATTTTCACCTTACACAGGCTTTTAACTATGACATCGAACGTCGCGTTTTCAAGATTTGAATTACTACCTGACGTCGCGATGTGTGGACTTTTTGACGCAATTTGCTTTTGGGGCTCGACTCACATTTGAGGATTACGCTATGATCGGTGTTCAAGTACTGTCTTATTGATTATTGAAGTTATAGTGCTTCCATCTTCCCATGTAGTTTTCGTTTAACTTCTTTAACTTCGTTTAACTATAGAAAAATTAAGAAATTTTTCTCCTTCGTATCGATTTTCAGCATGGATAAAAGTGATACTATTGATATAAGTACTACTGGCTAGTACTAGTGTCGTATTTTAATCCGTTGTAGCAATAATCGATTTGCTTCCCTCAACGTCTTGATATTTGCAAAATGTATTACCAATACGAATAAACATGTAGAAACAATTGATTATATTGCCCGCTTTACGTTCATGGAAGACATGTACTTAGGCATCAATATGGTTGTGAGGTAAACGTTAAAACTGGTTTTGTTTGGCTGTACTGACTTAGATCAGTGTCTCTTATTTGCTTCGTAACATTTATGATCCTGTCAGTTATAATGTATATAAGAATAATCATTATCGTGGTAATAATGCCTTTAAAAAGCGAGCAGTGGAATATCATAAGCCAATAAGGTTTCCGTCACTGCCGCTTCAAGGCGGCTCTTGTCCACATAGTAGACCACCGTGTCTACATAGCAAGCACAAAAAGTATATAAAACTACTGTCTATCAGCAGTTGATATTATTACCACGCGACAATTACATAGCCAGTTGTGTTCGTTTTGAAAAAGAACGGGAGACCGACGAAGGCTCAATGACATCGCGAGGCCAACGAGGCAAAACGCTGGGACCGTCTCATATCGATTTCATCATAGATAGAATTTTACCTAACTATCTTACTAATTATTTCGTATGGCTTAAGTTAAAGCTAAGCTATATATATGTATTATTATATTAAAGGTAAGCAGGTTTGCAGGTAATGCAGTAAATAAAAGATACGTACCCTTTCCATCAATTAGGTACGTTCAGGATTATTGTACTCGAAATATCAGTTTGCGAAAATATTTTCTCTGTATAGCACAGCTTATCAATAAAGAGCGCGGCAAATCTAGGATCACTCAGTGTAGCCTTAACTACCTTATAAAATGAAATAGTAAATTAAAATTACTGTAGACCTAAGTTCCACGTCTGAATTTCATAGATTGGTCGGTAGCGCTAAAGGTCTCAACACAGTTTAAACTTGCAGCTGTCGAGTAGAGAACAATATTAAAGTTCCAATGCATTTTGTGAGACTGGAATCTAAATAAAATGGATGAAATAATAAAAGAATATTTCTCAAAACTAACGACTCGTGGAATATGAACTTTTGAATGCAGAGTGAGTGTGATTTTTCATCAAATATATGGGTTACTTTCCGTTTCATACGACCCAAAGTTTTGTCGCCGATTTGTTGTGTGATAGTGTATAAAGCATCGGATTCCTTTTTCGTCTGTCAACAACTATGTACTTGTATGTAAGATACCAAGGAGCTATTTGTCTGTAATCTTCGTAGAGCGGCATACTTTGAATTTGGCACTCGAAGCTTCAGAACGCTGTGCACATTGATACCTATAAGATCAACACTAGTATCACAACAAAAAACATGTTCGACAATGTATATACATATATATATATAAAGGTCTGTAGACATTCAAGTCGCTGCCCGCTAATAATAATAAATAATTAATAGTTTTCTCCTGTCGGCCTAAACCCTCTATTAACTATTGCATCCTGCTCAAGCGCTTCTTGAGTGACAAATTCAAAACATTGTGCACTATTAGTAAAATACTGTTGATTTCCCGCACCAAAATTATTTTCCCGAAACGGCCAAAATGCCCAAAACGACAATGCTTCTGAATCGAGGCTAGGTAACATCATAGTCTTCAATGACTCCCTACTAGATTTCCTTCAGTGTCACAATTAGCAATCGTACGTGTCTTTGGCATTGCACTTTTTAATGCTTTTTCTGTCTTCATCCACAGACTCTGCCGAAGACAAAACGGGGACGTATCACTTACTTGATGTGACTTCGATGCGCTTCAAGTATATGTAGATATATGATTGGCTTGAGACATACTGCAAGCAGACATTACTGTGCACGGTTGATTACTAGGAGACTTGCATTAGTGGCTTCCAACGATCCGAGTCGGATGCGTGTTTATATGCTAAACAAAACTCTTAACAATGATATTGTTTCTACGCTCCAGATAATCATCGTTAAAGGAAACACTATGCGGAGCCTTTCGACCACTAAGCCTTTTTCTTTCAATGGAGTTATATACTCGCTGCCGCGTAACTTTGATAAACAAAACTTGGCATAATCTTGTACTTTATTAATTTATTTTATAGAATAATACAGGTACGGTGACCTATCTAGAATTTTTTTTGATTTGTCGTAAAAGTATTTTACATCGGAAAAACGCAGGAAGCACCGTTCGAGCGGTTCGTCACTGAGCGGTTATCGGTGAGCAAATGACGGAGCCGGCTGCACAGATGGGACACAACTAATGATTTGACGATTGTTACCGTCACAGATATTAATGAGCGTTCGTTCGATTGTATTTTCTATGTCTGTAATCTATAGAGCAATTGGCAAACAATGAATAAAATAGAACCAAAGCTGATTCAAGTATAATGCTAGATAAAACTCTCAACGTCCAACTTATGCCACCTAAGCTCGTCACGCCAGTAAGTTGAAGTTATGCAACAGCTGAAACAAGATTCAAACGAACAGCGTTTGTAGCCCGTATATTCTACTATATTCGTATATACAGATATTCATACTCTATAATATATACATTTTTTCCACAGTCCAGTTCCTTCGTTGTCACTTGAATACCCTGTACGAGCGAACTCGGGAAGTGTTTTAATCGAAAAGCTTTTGCTAAATATGTGGGCGTATCTTTACATGCGTATATATATGAATGTGTTAAGGAAATAAACAACGGTCCGGGTATTGTTCCCATATCTACCAGCTTAATACGCGCTTTACCTGGGTAAATATTTGGACGTATTAGAGCTTTGCAGCGCATTGCTGCAAGAACACGATTTCTGTTATCCACAAATTTGCCGACGGTTGAAAGTATCAGTCGGTGCTAACGATCAAACAACCAATTTGATATGAGCACATATATAACAAATCGGATCAAGGACTGAAGGCGTGGAAGAAATTTAAAATGGTTGACAATAAGCTAACACGCCCTTTGGCTACGAGCTACTTACCTCTGGCCATTGGTGCCAGCATGAGTAAATTGGCAAGGGCTGCACCGTGACCATGGCCGAAAACGGTCACCTTTAAGGGGTCGCCACCAAATTCGGTAACGCTACCGGCCACCCAATGTAACGCAGCCACAACGTCGAGAAGGCCATTATTTGCACCTCGGCCACCGCTTTCCAGAGGCGGAAGGAAACCTGGAAAGAGATACATACGGCAACGCAAACGTGTCTTTAGGTCTTTAAATATTCGTTATACGAATGCTGTGCTGAAACTCAGTTATGCACCGACTATGGAAGTGCTGATGAGTAAATTAACTATGAAGTTGTCCCAATTGGTTCCCGATAACAGTTGGTATCTAAAATTATTGTAGATGATCCGACATCTCAAGGAGGGCCCCAGGATTGTCTGACAGATTTTCGCTGACACAAATTTTACTCATTCCTATGGCTAGGAAGAAAATTAAATGCTGCGTTTTTAGTACCGGCTTGATTAAGCGCGTAGGAAGAAAGAAGCTTTTTTGAACTACTAAATCATACACGGTTGACGTCCTAAGGAGGATCATTAGCGAGCAAGGTGCCGGCTTGTGTTAATACGTCTGCAAAGCAGATCGCGAATGTATCGCTCAGGGAAGAGACGTAAGCTATTAACTTGCGGTGAAAACCAATTTTCCTGGAATGATTAACCATATCTGTATAGAACGAGACTCGATAAGCGTTGCTACTTGATGGTAATAAGACGTTTCAGTGTAATCGAAGATTATTTTACGCTTGGTTCCAATAACTTCATGTTGTTATATAACCTTCCGAAGGTCGCATATATTACGATAATATTGTTACCCCTAAAAGTCATGAGATGTAAGTGTTGCGTAGATTTTTTAGTGAAATTCGATCACTACTTCGGTTTATGCTTTCTTATAAACGCCGATTAGACTGCTGTTAAATGTATTTTCAGAAGACTGTTCTGTGACGGGAGGGTGCATCATAGCAGTCACTGTATGAGGTCTTAACTCCATAGCTTGAAGTCGTAGAATAGAGGCGATGTAACCGTGACAACTCCTATAAAAATAGACTCTCTTCCTTCCGAGATAATGGATCCCATTAAATGACAAGCTGTTAGTCGATTATTGTTTTTAGTTAGCAACATAGATGTGCGCATATGTCGAATTTTGAATTTTACCCGCCAATCACTCAATCGGTTAGGCACTGCAATTAGCAGTATCTGCCTGAACATGACAGTGGTTACATGGTATATACATGGAACAACGGTGACGGAGTTGCGGCCCTAATTAGGTAAACCATTCCTTGCTGTGAAACGGCTTTGGCATTGGTTATTAGATTAGGTAAGGTGGAATCCCGAGGCGACTGTTTGCCCTGAAGGCCTATAGTTTGAAGTTCGCGGAATAGCTCAAATCGCGTATGAAGCAGGACTACTATTGATTTGAACGTGTTGGTTTCTGAGCCAATGTGTAAGTCTCTAGGAGAATACGCGTGCAACTGCGCGGACTAAATAAAATGTATGCAGTTAATAAGCAAATTTAATATTGATAAAACCATTCATCCGCGGTCGCATCAATAAATTAGTTAATCGAGATTCGTGCGCCGAAACATTACTGAATTTGATGGCCTGCATTGTAAAACTAACTTGAAACGGCACGAGATTTTAGGCCCAAATAATTAACATACCTCGAGCTCGATTCAGTGGGACTGTTATTTATAGCTTATCGCATGCCCTTGGACTACCTCTGGCCGTACGAGGGCAGTCGCTGTACTTAACTAACCGATGAGGTTCACCTTCGTAATTTTACACAACCTTACAAATTCCAAAGAAAAATATAGGATCAGAGTTGTGCAATGTTAAAATATATGTATAGACCATTTTGTTATCAACTATTCAAAAATATACCAAATGGTATTTACATGTCACATTTTTAAAATACGTGACCATGAATAAACGTTCATTCAAACGACTATAGTGTTGAGGTTTACTTAGGAACAACCGCTTTCTCGAGTTCTGTGACGAGAATCATCACAACGACTCGCAAAGCGACTGGTCAGGCAGTGTCATTATAGAATCTATCAACGTTTGTACTCAGTAAGGAACGACGGGTAACCTAATCAGCGTAAGTTTACGTATGAAGAGCAGACTGAGCTTTTCTATTTTATCATCTTTCTACGAGATTCATATATCCTTCAAGAAATATGCTATGAGGAATTAATTGTTCTATAGGCACATGAAATAAGGTTTGCACGTCAAGTCATCCCTCTATTATTATTATTATCTTATTTAATTATCCCCTAATAATGGGAAAGGTAAGCATTGAAATGAGGGACTAGTTTCATTGTACGAAAATAGGCTTTGTACGATTTACTAGAAATTAACCTATGCATCATGTATTGAAAAACCACCGAAATTTTCTGTAGTACCTATAGATCGGGCTAACGACGTGCGGCGGCAAGATAAGAATACATTTAAATTATTATTATTCGACCGCTAAACAGAAAAGCCGATAATTTAGGACATGTCCTAATGACCTCGAACGTACTAAATGGACTAGGTGCTTCAGATCGCCAGGCGGTTTTTCTGGCCATATTATTGCTTAGAAAAAACGTGAGCATCTAGAGGCCTTGGTGTCAACTTTCACCCACACGAAAATGTCTTTTAAAAAAGATTCGCCAATCTGATTCAATAATAATAAGGCCCAAATCAGCTATATCCTTTGTGCAACACCTCTTAGACCAGACGCGTTCTAACGTCGTTAAACCAGTAAATAACATTTGATAATAATTATCGTCATCATAACTGGAAACTACATTGTGTCAGAATGCTGGTCTAGCTATACATACCATGAACCCTTAAGCGTGAACAAAAACGTTAGTACTCCTCGTGGATTCAGCTCTTTCAATTAATAGTATTTGATGTGACAAGATTCTCGAGAACATATGTGCGGTTAATCCATAAAAAAAACTTCAATTGTTCTTAAGGATCTGGTTTTGAGAAATATGTAAATATTATTACACCAACACTTCTTTAGTGTTTGCGATATTTTAATTTATCAAGTGCTCGCAGTATATAAAGCGATAATTCTAATAATCAGTAATCTTCGTTTATAGCAGCTCTGTTCCACAGGTCGTTATCTACCGGCTTCGCTTTTTCCAAGATTTAATAAGTCTAACGTGTGCAGCCATCTCAAACACGTGGAGTTTGCTAACGTCCTCGTACGATGGCACGCTGCACCTGGACCAGCACTACACTTGCGAATGCCAGGATTATGTCACCTTTACCCGCATCCCGTCGTACGTGTTGTCACAATCGAAGCCTACATTGCATATGTCGGCAACTTTGACAGTTCTTAGCCATTTGCTTTGCCGGCTATGGAGGCTGTAACACGGACAGGATTGCTCCACTGCGGTTCATCAGGCGGGCGCCAAGAACGAAGAAAACGGGAGGCGTTCAGGGCAGTTCCAGTGCCCTACTCTCAGCTACATAGGACATGTTCAGCCACGCAGAGCATGTACGTCTGCTCAGTAACTTTGCAGCTCGCATGATAAGAATTCCTCTTTTGTCTTTTCTTTGCTGCTAGTAAATCCCCAGCCCAGAACGACAAGAAACGACGCTTTCTCTGGACATCACCATCGTCACGATCTGACTATTCGTAACGGCTTACGTATGCACTGCCGACTGCTCACTGCGCTAGGGCAAAGTATACCAGCCAATACATTTAAGCCTATAGAATATTGCAGTTATTCCCAAAGGCGCAGATAAATGTTTTCACATTACCACTCTAGGTTCCACCATATATTCGCTTTGCTCATCAACAGAACCTATGTTAGTTGTAACGGGGTAACAGTATTTCTTCATCTCGGTATTCTTTCTAGGAATAATAAAACTGAATTCTCGCTAGGAATCACCCAACTTTTGGCATTCAACGACCGTCCTCGGTTTTTTTTTCTGGCGACATCGTCGGCAGAGTCGCACAAGTATCCCTTTACACACCTCCAACGGCTTGGTTTGCAGAGTTATCTTCTCTCACTGATTCGTCGTTGCCTTCCTCGTCGGGACACTACATCGATGGCAAACGTTTAAAAACGCCCGTGCGTATGAAATGCCCCTTCCTCGGGGTCTTGGTAAGCATTTGACTGTCGCCGCTGCCGTTGTTGTCCACGTACAATTGCATCGTGCTGCTTCGTAGGGGTGTTAGTTTTGGAGGACAGCAGACACCCAACTGAACGACCAAGCGCCCAAAACCATTGGGCGCAAGCGTAGCATGGGGTTTCATGCTCATTTTAACTTCTTCCCCCTGCTCGTTTTTCCTTTTCAGGTGGGGACAGCCAGCGGCAGGAGGACTATTACTGCTGCAGTAATCGTAAGATGCCCTGAGGGAGAAGGGGCTATGTGCGGAAAAAACGAGAGAAGAAGCGAAATGGCTGCTGGGGCCATCCCAGCTTTCCTTGTAAACGTCGTAACGAAACCAAATTGCTCGAGTACTGCCGAGGCACTCATAGTGAGGTTGGCGTTGCTGCCACCACAGTACCATGCGCCCCTGCCGTAGCTCGTACGGTGTCTGGCTCTATGCGGTGCGTGACGCCGTTAAAGGTGGTCGTCTGGCAGCACGTCGGTAGCGCGAGCCTCGTAGCGACGTACATGTAACGACAGCATATGACCCAGAGCATACGGTTGCGTATAAGAAGGCGGACAAAGGACCAGGCGCAGGAAATGCATAGGGTATAGAAGCGACAACTGAAAGGAGTAAAGGAAAGAAATCGCGGCTCGGGATTCTAGACAGCGGTGGAATGTTAAGGGTCGGGGGTGTCGGAGAATGTATCATTCTCACTCTTTCGTTGCGGAGAAGCTCAAGCAGCCAGTCGCCAGGAGCCAGTGATAAAGCCTAGAACCGACGAATGCGACGGGTCCGAATCAGTCAATATAAGATCAAATGCGAAAGGAACCTAACGAGAAAAAGGTTTTCAAAGAAAGCCTCGCCAGACGAAACACTGCACACGCTCCGTAGCCATGTGTATCCCAGCGTGTAACAATAGTTGTACCCAGTGGTGACATGAAGTGATGTAAAAAAAGGAGCCGGCGGAACAGACAACGAAGCATAACGGAACGGACGGATAGAAGGAAGAGAATAGAAGGATCTTTTTCGCTCTGTCGAGAAAGCGAAATGAGAATAGAAATGGGGAAGTCCCAGAGA